AAATGCTCCTGGTTCGGACTGGATCGCTCAATCCAGTAGCAATGGCAGCGGGGGGGTTCGGAGAACCGGTAGCAAAAATCCCTCCCCCCCCGCCCAGCTGAGCCACACAATCATCAGAGGCTTTTTTTTAATTTTTAAAAGCATTTTTTCTACAACCTCTTTGGCTGAAAAAATGCTTTTAAAAGTAAAAAAAAAATGCCTCTGATGATTGCGTGGCTCAGCGGCATCAGAGGCTTTTAAAAGCATTTTTTTAACAACCTCTTCGGCCGAAGAGGTTGTAGAAAAAATGTTTTTAAAAGAAAAAAAAGCCTCTGACGATCAGGCAACTCAGCTGGGATTGTCAGAGGCTTTTAAAAGCATTTTTAAAAAACTTCTTCGGCTGAAGAGGTTGTAGAAAGAATGCTTTTAAAAGAAAAAAAAAATTGGCCACGCCCACCCAGTCACATTCCCCCCTCCCACCAAGCCCCCCCCCCAGAACCGGTAGTAACAAATCACCACTGGATTGGGGGAGACAGGATAGCAGTCTTCCAATATTTGAGGGGCTGCCACAAAGAAGAGGGAGTCAAGCTATTCTCCAAAGCACCCGAAGGCAACGGATGGAAACTAACCAAGGAGAGAAGCAACCTGGAGTGAGAAGAGTTACCCGGTGGGACCTCCAGAGGCTCTGGGTGCTTAACAAGCCTTGTAGACTGAAGGGTTCGTCTCACTGAAAACCCGGAAGAGTCAGATGGAGGCAGCAGGGAGGGTTGTTGGAAAATGTGCGTAAAAGAAGGTGAGAGAGATTCAAGAAAGAACGGGTGATGGAAGAAGGCCAAAAGGAGAACTTTGGTCTGGTCACATAAAGAGAAGGAGAGAAGCTGGTGTTGCAAAACAATTATAGGAGGGAAGGCTGAAGGGGCCGAGGGTGAGGGTCAGACTGAGGAAATGGGGAAACTCTGCTGATGGTGGGGTTTTTTTGTTTTGCTTGTTCCTCCCCCCCACTTTTTCTGGGCTGTCATGGATTTGTTTATTTTACACTCAGTGGCACATAGGGTGACCTGGACAAGGTCCTCGATTTACGACCTCAATGGAGCCCAACATTTCTGTTGCTAAGCAAAGAAGTTGTTAAGTGACCATTGCCCCATTTTATGACCTTTTCTTGCCACTGTTGTTAAGCAAATCACTGCAGCTGTTAAGTTAGTCACATGGCCGCTAAGTGAATCTGGCTTTCCCCATTGACTTCGCTTGCCAGAAGATTGCAAAAAGGGGTCACGTGACCCGGGGGACACTGTGACCGTCATAAGCATGAGTCTGAATTTTGATCACGTGACCACAGGGATGCTAGGTCATACCTGGGTCGTAACTGTGAAAAATGGTCATGTCATTTTGTTCAGTGCCATTGTATCCTGAGTCACTAAATGAACTGTTGTAAGTTGAGGACTAGCTGTATTATTGACTAATATTATATATTGCTAATACTATTATACTAATAGCAGAGGTGGGTTTCAGCAGGTTCTGACCAGTTCTGGAGAGCCAGTGGCGGAAACTTTGAGTAGTTCGGAGAACCAGTAGTAAAAATTCTGCCTGGCCCCCATGCCACGCCCACCAAGCCACGCCCACAGACCCAGTAGTTAAACATTTTGAAACCCACCACTGACTAATAGCCTAGATATTTCCATAGCGGAGCTCGGCCTGCAGACTGAAGTCCATCCCGCAGAGCTCAGACAGGAGCAACCTGGGGAAGATCAAAGGCTCCGGAGCTTTCTAGATCGGCCCGAACTTGCAGATCAAGGATCCCGTCGGCCTTTCGGGAAGCTCGGAAACCGGCCGGGCACTTGGAGCCATGAAAGCAGCTGCAACTCGGAGCATCTGCCGCCTCCAGAAGGAAGCTGGAACCCCCCCCGCACAGCGAAGGAAGAAGGGCCCGTTAGAAAACCCAGCCCCCCCTCACTCCCCCCCCACTCGGCCGTCCTTGTGGGGCTCCGCGTGGCCACCAGGTGGGGCTGCAGGGCAAAGAGTGAAGCGGCCACCGGCCGGACCTGCTGAGCGCGCCGGGCAGTCGGCTTCTCACCTGGCCTGCGCCGCGGTCCGGCCCCCGAGGCCCTCCCCTCAGGGGGAGCCGCGCAACGAATGCCCTCGGGGAGGCCTGAGGCAGCCCCTGCCGACCCCTCCCGCAGGCAGCTCCCGTTTCCCCTGAGAGGCTTTGGGGGGGCTCCTTCCCTCCCCCCACCTTTCCGGTTGAGCTTCGTCGCCCTTCGGGTCAGGTGCAGCCAAGGGAGGGGATTCCGGGGCGACCCTGCTTCCTAACGGGCTTCGCGGCAGGGAGAGCCGCTCTCTGGGAGCCGCGCTGGTCTGCAGGAGGAGAGGGAGCCAGACCCGGGCCAGCTCCAGACCCCCTTCCCTTGTGGACCCAGGCCCCCCTCCCCTTTGCCTTGCCTTCCTCCCTGGGCCCCCACTACCCCAAGCTTGCCCTCAAGCCAAGACGACCTGGAGCTGTGCTCCCTTTTCCAAAAATTGTTCGGTCGTTAAGTAAGCCCGACCACAATTGGGTTTTTTAAGGGACACAAACTACTTCCCTTCCAACCCCCAAACCAGAACCAGGGGGTTCATGTGGGGTTCCTGAGTCTCCCTGAACTGGGAGGCAGAACCTCTCCCCCACCCACCCACCCACAAAAGGGGCAGAGGGACCCTCCTGGGACCCTCCCGAGTGGGTCCCTAGCATTGCAGTTGTTTTGTGAGCACACCACACACCACATCCGGTTGTTGCTCCAAGGGTCTCATGGGGGAGGGGCATGAATGACTTAGCCAGGAGTTGACCCGTTTTTCTAGAGCCAGATGTTGAAATCCTGGAGGGGGAAATGGGGGGGGAGAACTGGCCTTGTAGACAGTGACCTGGGCACCCTGTTCTTCCACCCACCACTTTCAGGACCCCTGCCAGGACCCCAACCTTTCCTCTTGGAATTGGGGCACTGCCAAAGCAGCTGAACGAAGGGGGGCACTGGATGAGAGGCCTCCATTTTATTTCTTGCTGTACCCAGTTCTTTTCAGCAGGTGCCCTCTAGACTCTGCGGGGGGGGGGGAGGCAAAGGGAATATAGCCAGGCTCCCCATTGGGCTGCAGAAGGACAGCACCCCCACCTTACAGGAATGTCATCCCTGTGGCTCCTCCTGCAGGGCTTCCAAGGGGCTCCCCGATGGAGCAGAAGCAGATTTGCCCCAGGAGAGGAGGGTGGGGGCAGGGCAGAAAAGACCCACCACAGAAGGGGTGGGCGGGCAGACAGGGGGACTAGTTCTGGGCTTCCTTGGAGGCATTTTGTGGCCAAATTGGGCCTGCTTTGAAGCCCTTCAGGAACTCTGGACTGCACCCTGCCTCATAACCCCACCTGGCCCTATGAAGGGTGGGGGGACTCCCAGCCTGGAAGGCAGTGTCCATGGTGTGTATGTATATATGTATATACACACACACACACTCCACAATGCCACAATGTTTGCAGGCAGCAGGTGGGGCCTGGCTGCTCTTGGGCCCCCTCCTGGGCCCCCTGGATTTGGCCAGGTCTCCATGCTGGCCCTGGAGGGAGCCCTGAAGCCAGAGGCCCAAGGCCAGCCTCGGTGTTTGGACCTCCCTGGCAGCTTCATCACTTCCCCTCCCCATGTTTCTTCTGCAGGTGGGAAGTCGGTGCTTCTAAAGTGCTTCAAACCCCAAAGAACCCCTGGAAGGTTGGGCAATTCTTAGGGGCTTCCCAGAGTTATGAGCACTCCGCCAATTACAAATTTAAGGATAAAATGAAACAGTGAAATAAAACCTTCCTTTGCCAATGGAAATTATCAGCTTCCAACAGGTTTTATGCCTTTGCCTGTGAGGGGGTGGGGGTGGGGGGGTCCCAAAGAAAACGACCCTCCTGTCCGGGACTGCCGGCTCTCTGCGCGCATCGCTGAGGGAGGCGGGTGCTCAGCGCAGGGTCTCCCCTTCTTCGGGGTCCCCCGCCAGCGCGGCCTCGCCAGGGCAAGAGAGAGCGAGCCGCCACTCAGGCAGGGAGGCGCGGAGCAGCCCTGGGCGCAGGTCACTCCGGCACAAGTCGCGGCAGGTCTGTCCCGGAGCAGGTCGAGACCGAGCAGCCGAAAAGGAGGCCCCGCCCGGCGCCCGCCGGAGCCACCTGGGCTAAAGCTGCTTCGCAGGGGGGCCAGTCGGGGCAGGCAGGGACCCGGAGAGCCGGGCGCTTGTCCGAAAGGGGGCCGGCCCGTCCTCGGAGCCCCGCACCCGGGGCTCCAATGCCCGGCTATACCGGAGGCGTCCCGCTAGCCGGGAGAGGCGCTTCCCTCCGCCGCGGCCAGGTGAGGCGCAGGAGGCCCTAGGTGAGCCTCCTCTCGCCGAGCGCCACGAGCGGAGTCGGCGGAGGCAGCGCTGGCACGCTCCAGCGCCCGGCCCGCCTCGCCCCCCGCCGCCTCCGCCGCCTCCGCCCACGCCTCGAAGGGGAGGGGAGGAGGGGACGACCGCCGGCCGAGCACCGGCCGCGCCGCCTCTATATAAGCGCCGCCTGGGCTGATCCCCGCAAACGGCGCGGAGCGCGGCGACTCCTCCTCCGACGGCGCCGCCAAACGGAGCTCCTGCCCGCCCCCAGCCGGCCCGCCCCCCGCCCGGCACAGACGCTCCAGGCAGCCGCTCAAGTTGGACGGCGCGACCGCAGAAGCCCCTGCAGATCCGCGCCCGCTCTCGCAGCCTCCTGCGCCTCAGCCGCGGAACCTCCCGTCTCCGGCTCACCGGACCCCTCCGGGCGCAGCGCCCTCCTCCCGCCCCACTTTCGGCGGAGCCGCCTCTGGGTTGCAGCGCTGCAGCGAGCGAAGATCCGGGAAGGTCGCCTTCGGGAGGGAGCCCGAGTTTTGCCGCGCCCGCCGGGCGTTCCTCCGTCTGGGCTTCATCCAAGCGGAAAGGGGCGCCCGCCTCTCCGTCTGAACACCCCACTCTTCGGCGGGCAGCAACGCGCGATCCGTGCAGCGTCTCGCTCGCCTCCCCCGCGCGCCCGGACGAGTCAGTGTCCCCGAGTCCAATCCGGCCGCCTTCCCGTGCGGCGCTTCCGACGGCTGCGGTCCGTCCCCGGCGCGCAAGATGCTGATCGGCGGCTTCGAGCTGCTCTCTGCGCTGGCCACCGCCGCCGCCTGCCTGGCCTCGCTGACGCTGCTGCTGGCCGTCTCGCAGCAACTGTGGCAGCTGCGCTGGGCCGCCACGCGCGACAAGAGCTGCAAACTGCCCATCCCCAAGGGCACCATGGGCTTCCCGCTGGTGGGCGAGACCTTCCACTGGCTGCTGCAGGTAAGCGCTGCCGGCGCCGGCTGTCCGCGGCGGGAGGGAGAGGCGCGTCGGGGACTGGCCGGCCCAAGAGCCGGGCGATCCTAGCGGGGAAGGAGGCGGCGGTATCCCGGCTATGCCCGGCCTGAAGCTTTGCAATGTTGGAAGCGGCCGTCGGTCCAGCCCTCTCCTCGGCGTCTCCTGCCCGGAGGGAGACGCGCCGGCCGTAGGGTGGGGGGAGGCTCGCCCCTTCCAGGCTCCAACCAACAGGTAAGGCTGAGGAGCCCGGGCGGAACCGTGGGACGTCTGTGTTTTTTTCCCGCCAGCGCTTTCCCTGTCCTTCCCTGCCGCCGCCCCTCCCTTCCCCTGCCCTCCCCTCCCGGGCAAAGCGCAGCGCGGGATTCCCTCTCGGCCGCCCACCTTCAGCGCGAGCCCAGCGCTCTTTCCGCCACCGCCGCCGCCGCCGAAAGGCCGCCCCCACTCGGGGTTCAGCCCACGCGGTTTGCTCCAAGCGGCACAGCCGGGAGCCTCAGAGTTTGGCGGGGAGTCCTCGAGACTTTCCTCTCTCCCCACTCCGTCCTCCTATGGCGGGACCGCTAATCCACCCCCCCCCGCGCACACACACACTCTCTGCCCGCGGGACTCAGGCGGCCGCGCGGATCAGCGCCTGTCTGCACGTTCGGGAGGGACTCGAATTCCTTCTTGTATCCCCATCGCTCTGCTAGGAAGCAGAAGGAAAATCGAAAGCCCAATTCTGCGGGGCGCTGGAGATGTTATCCTTTCCTCCTCTGCAGCCCCCTCACCAATGAATTGTGCCTCAAAGAGACCGAAGGACCCCCTCCCAAGTCTTCCCCTCCCCAGCATTGAAAGAGTTAAGCGCCGTCCCTCACGGGGACTATTTTAAAAAGAAATTTATCAGATTCTTTACAAGGGGCGCCGAAAAAGGGGCTCTCCCTCTTCCTCAAGGCTCCATCCAGGGAAGAAAAAAAAAAGTCTAGGGCTAAAAATAAATTTAAAAAAAAGTATAAATCGGAGTCCGCCGAAACCTTCCCACATAAAGGTGCCCTTTGTACAAGGATGGAAATATTGCACAAATAACCCTTTATTAATGCCACTAAAAGCACTTTTAATTATATTTACGCAGATCAAGACACCGGGGCACCTGAATAGCTGAACTTCACAACCGGGCTTTTGTTTTGTTTTTTTAAGCCCCCCCACCCCAACCCCTCCCCGACCCCAACTCTCTGCCTCTTAGAGACCCTGAGCCGGGAAAGCGGGGCGCCTCTTTGGCTGCAAAGGCGCATGGAGCCTCTGCGGCGTTGCTTCCAAAACGCGTGGGGGAAAATATACCCTCCTCTTTCTAGCTCCGAAAATGGGCAGGAGGACCCCGCGGGAGGTCCAGATGCCCCCTTCCCCTCGGGTTGCTTGCGGCTCTTTCCCTCCCTCCCTCCCCTGGATAACCCACGCCAGCATCTGGGAAAGTGATCAGGGGTCCCGTTCTCGTCCCGCGCTTAGCCAGAGATACTTGGCGTGGGTTATTCGTCCTCCGTGGAAAGGAGGGCTCGCAGGGGAGACGGAAGAGGCTGATTCAGCCCCCCTTAGTCTTAATCTAAGAAACCGAATCCCTGCCACTGCACCAGGGTTTCGGTTCTCTGGAGCCTGCCCTCCGTTGAGGGGATCCCGGCCCAGGTAGCCTCAGTCTGGGGGACCACGGTCTCCTCCCCTTCCCCTGGCCATCTCTGGGCGGGAGAGGCATTTTGTCCCCCGGCCCAAATGAGAGCTTCCCTTCAGTGTCAGGGAACTTGAGAGGCGCCTATTAGATAGGCTTTAGTTGGAGTGCAGGGGGTGGTCTCGATGGCCTTAGGGAACCCTCCTCGCTCTATTGTGCCGCCTTACTCGCGAAGGAATGGGGGGACTCTGTTCGTTGCCTCCGACGCAGCAAAGCAGAAAGATTCCCCCCCCTCCCCGACCGGGGGTGTCAATAAAAGGGGCGCCCACTATTTGCATTCCGGATCCTGCCTGCACTTCGACGACCCCAAAACCAACCGCTGGAGATTTGGACGCCCACCCCGGCAGCGGAGGGAGCCCCCTCCTTCCCCGGGAAGGGCGATCCGGACTCTGCTTGAACACAGGCGGCCGAGGGGAGCCCGCTGCCTCCAGGCATCGCTAGTTGCGCGGGGAACGCCTGGTGCAACAAGACGGTGTGTTTGTCTGTGAGTGTGGGCGCACGCGCAGGCCTTCGGCGTCCTAGACTTGGTAACCAGAAGCTCTTTTGGACAGCAGTTAAAATCAGCCCTGGGACCACCGCGAAGGAGCTGGCGACCCCTTTGCCCGTTTTAAGGCTCGGCTGCATCCACACAATTCGCTAAACGCTTTTGAGTTCGGGATCCCAAAACTCTCTTCCCCGGTTCAGTGAATCTGTGCTCAAGCCAAGCAACCGTCTGGCTCAGAGTTCCCGCGACCCTCCGACTCGGAGGCTGCCTCGCTTCCTTTGGATCGAGGCTAGCGCTTTTGCGCCTTCGTTTGCTTTCCAGCAGCGTTGGCAGGCGGTGGGGAGGGGGCTAAGACTGGCAGAGACCCCCCCTCCTAGCAGAAGTAGCAAAGCCTCAGTTAAGGAAGGTGAAAGTCCCGCGCCTGACGTTTCCCACCCACTTTTGGCCACGCGGGACGGCCCAAGAAATCCGACCCACCCAAAGTCACGAACAGAAGCCCCGTTTTCCACGCGCCGGACTTACACCCGTAGCCAGGGGTTCCCCTTTCCTTTCCCGCACAGTTTAATCTTTGATACCCAAGCATCCCCGTGCGTGTGAACAGAAGGAAGTGGGCAAAGGATACGGCTGAGCACGCAAGGAGGGCTCGGGAGGGAGGGGGCTTTTGGGCTGGACCCCCGTCGCTTCAGCAGCCTTTTGCAGCCGCCGCGCGGCTCCTGTCCCGCTCTCCGTCCTCCGGGGAAAGGCCACAAGTTCAGCCCCCTCACCCGGGCGCTTAAAAGGCGGACCGGAGACGGCCGGAGCTCTGCTGGCGCCCCCGGATCTCTCCCGCTTCCCCGGCCCCGGGCTGCACTGCAAAGTCGGGGGAGGTGGGGGTCGGGGGAGCTGCCAGGCTGAGCGGCCGCGCCTCCTCTTGCAGGGCCCCGGGTTCCAGTCCTCGCGGCGGGAGAGGTACGGCAACGTCTTCAAGACCCACCTGCTGGGGCGGCCGCTGATCCGCGTGACGGGCGCCGAGAACGTGCGCAAGATCCTGATGGGCGAGCACAGCCTGGTCAGCACCGAGTGGCCGCGCAGCACCCGCCTGCTCCTCGGCCCCAACACCGTGGCCAACTCCATCGGCGACGTCCACCGGCACAAGCGGAAGGTAAGGGCTGCGCGCGGCCTCTGGGCGTCCGCAGAGGGCCTGGCGGGAGCGCTCGGCAGCGGGGCGGGCACAGGCGGGGGGCGCCTGCGAGGGATTGAAAGCGGCGATGCATGGGGGGGGGGAGCCCTTTGCTCTGCTCCGGGAATTCGGGAGACGCGGGAAGCGGCCGAGGAGGATGGGCCTCGGGGGCTCCTTGGGGAGGGCAGGGAGGCTGCCTTGCTGAGCGCCGGCGGGCCTTCCCTCCGGGGATCTGGGGGTGGTGGGGGGAGAGAAGGCTCGCGGCGAACTGCGGCCGGCCAGGCGGCTGGTTCGCCTCGACCTTGCCGGCGGCACGTGCCGAGGTTGAACTCTAGTAACCCTGGGGGGGGGGACTTCCGACGGGCGGGGCTGCGCAAGGGCCGGAGCGGTGCTCCCCTCCCTGCCCGCCGCTCGCTCGCCCTGCTGGCGGCTGAAGGAGCGGCTCCCGCTGGAGTGGGGGTGGGGGGTCTTTGCTAGAGAGGGGTATAAAGAGAGGGGTGGTCGCACCGTTCCGGGAAAAGGGCCCCTGCATCTCTAGACTCCCGGGGTCTTCCTCGTCGCTTAGTAGGAGGGTCAACCTCCCAGTTTTCTTTTCCAGGGAAAATGCCATTAAAGCCCCCTCCCCACCCCTTTCGAAGTCAGCCGTTCCCAGCAGATTCAGCTAAATCCCCCCCCCCCCCCCATGAAGGGGGTTCTGGGAAAGGTGTGGAAGGGGAGGGCTAGTGAAGGGACAAAGAACTGTAAAATGGAGGCGTGTCCCCCCCACCTTTAGCCTGCTCCCCCCCTCCAACCTTGCATCTCCAGGAAGCAGGAGTCTGCTGATGAGATGCAAGGGAACTCTAAGGCATGTGCAGCGTTCAGATCTTCTCTCCCAACCACACCCTTGGCCCCCCCCTTCCTCTCACCCTAAAATATGAAAGATATCCTAGCCAACCCCCCCCATAAGGATTTGTCCATAGATTTGGCCTCCCCCGCCCCCCCATCTGCACACACTCTCTGCATCCCCTGCCCGAGGATGCAGGTTCCACCAATGTCTTCCCTATTCCTGGACTAGAGTCTGTTCTTGACTCTTGGGGAAGGGGGGGTCACCCCAGAGGCTCAACGTTTGGCCCTTTCCTTGTGGACAGAAGAACGGGCCGGTTGGGGGTCTGGACTGGGGGGGGCAGCAACTCCATGAGCTTTGTTCCTAGGGCAGCCTTAGGGCCCCTCCTGCACCAAGGCCTGCCCTTCCCCTTCCCAGCAGCCTCAGGCACCAGCCCAGCCACTTAGGGGACCCCAGCCTTAGCCCCCTCTTTGAGAAAACTGCACCCCCAACGGTCTGGCTGACTTTGAATGCCACTACAGCTCGTCCTTGAATTACGACCATTCGTTCGGCGATTGTTCAAAGTTATGGCTTCGCTGGATGAATGCTCCTTACCCCTGGTCCTCAAAGTTATGGCGGTTGCAGCGTCACTATGGTCACAGGTATCTGCCCACCCTTACAGCTCTTGGGGTGCTTCAACTCCCTTGCCTGTCCCCCCCCCATCTACCTCAGCCGTTCTGGCCGCCCTGCATGGTGACCCTGTTCAGTGGCATCACGGGGGCTTCAGAGAAGCTCTGGGGCAGCAGCGCCCCCCACCCCCAGTCGTGTCTCGGAGTGCCCTTAGGTCAAGTGGCCGGAAGGGAAAAGATGGGGAGGAGGTGGGTGGGGAGTTCGAAAGGAGGCAGCCATTAACCTTGGAAGAAAGGAGGCAGGGAGGGGGCCGGGGAGGGGCAAGCTGGGAATACCTTGGATGGGGACTGCTGGTTTTTTTAATTTATTTATATTTATTTATTAAATTTGTCTGCTGCTCCTCCTCGTCTAGTCACGAGGCCATTGCTAAGTGAGGCAGTCGCGCTTTGTGACTGCTTTGCTTAGTGATGGAACTTCCGATTCCAATTACCCCCATTAATTGAGGACCACTTGTGCAGAGCACATTCACCGTCCTCTCTTCAAGACTCTCTGCAAGAACAGGTGGTCCTCGACTTATGACCACAATTGAGCCCCAGATTTCTGTTGCTAAGCGAGATTTTGCTCCATTTTAAGACCTCTCTTCCCTCAGTTGTCACGTGAATCCCTGCCGTTGTTAAATGAGACACAGGTTGTTAAGCAAATCTGGCTTTTCCTTGTTGCCTTTGCTTGTCAGAAGGTCGCAAAAGGGGATCACGCGACCCTGGGACACTGCGACCGTCATAAATAGGAGTCAGTTGCCGAGGGTCTGAATTTTGATCTCTTGATTGTGGAGATACTGTGTGAAAAATGGCCATCGGTCACTTCTTTCCCTCTTGTAACTTGGAATGTGCCCTAAGCGAATCTTGTAAGGAATTCAGTTTTTTTTCCTGACGGCAGCATTGTGGTCACCTGAATCAGGTGTGCTGGGCTAATTCACCCCAGAGGCCTTTTTGCCCAGGCTGATTTTCTGCCGGATGCCAGTCCTGGGCTTGCCCTGGAGGGAGAGATTGCCTCCTTACTTGGACCCGCATTTCCTGGGGTATCTGGACACCTGGCCTTCTCTCGCCAGCCCTGCCTGCTTGCTCCATTGCTGTTGGCAGGTCAATGCTCCGAGGTTGGCTGAGAAGTGCCCAAAAAGTGCCCCAAAAGTGCCCGCCTGTCTTGGTTCAGCTGCTAAATCCTGGCCGGCTCCTTCGAAGCCCCGGATTCGCCCTCAGGCCTCAAAGAAATAATTGCAGCTCAGGAGCCGCTGTCTGTTGTCCTCTGAGCTGCCAGCAGGGCTGCTCTTGACTTTTGTGTGATGTCTCCCCTTAACAACACACGTTGCGTAGAGTCCGGCCGAATCACCTGCAGCCAGCAAGTGGAGGGGGCGATTTGCTTGGTGCCAGTCTGGACCGGGAAGTCTGCTGTCTCCCAGGGGCCTCTTCCCCCTCCTCCCCAGCACAAGGGAGGCTCCTCCAAGGCCTCCAGCAAAGGCTCGGGGCCCGCGCATACCTGGCGTGCTCGGCACATCCGGCGGCCCAGACAGTAGCCGGGCAAGAATGCTCCGCTGGAGGACAGGCGCAAAGCTGGGAAATATCCGGTTTCCATTCCAGGCTGGGAGAGTCGGAGTTGCCCCGTCTCTCTACCCGGAATGAACTTGGTAGCCGTGGGTGGTGGGTGCACCATGACCCCCCTCCCCCCTTTGCTTGAGAAGATTAGGAGGGTTTCCCCAAAGGAGCAGAAAGAGGGGAAGTGGCTTGGCATCTGGGGAGGGGCCCTTTGAGTCTGGCATTCGGGCTTCTGAGGAAGGAGAGTCCAGCCTCTGCTGCCCCTCCCCTCCTATTCTATCCCCCTCCCTCTGCACGCTCACTCCCTGATGGTATTACCCAGTAGGGTAATGAAACATTTGCAAGAACATAACCAAGCTCAGAGACCACCACAGTCATTCTCCTCCTCTTCCTCCTCCTCCTCCTCCTCCTCCTCCTCCTCCTCCTCCTCTCTATTCTTCCTTCTCCCTCCTTCCTCCCCCCCATTCCCCCCCCATCCCCAGTCAGGAGGCAATTTCTCTCTCTCTCTCTGTTCTTCGGCTCCCGCTGTGCCACATTTGGGCCTCTGAATGCCAGAGGAGGAAGTGAGGCTCTCTGGCACCATTGCCACCAAGAGGGAGCAGCTGCTGGTGGCCCTCAGAGTCATGCCATCTGGACTTGCTGGTGGCTCCATTCCTTTCTCTGCCAGGATGGCAGAGGCAAAACCTGCCTGGTATCCCTCCTTTGCACCCAGACCTCCCTCCCCCCCACCCCTCAGGAGGCAAATTCCTACAGCCAAGGCCAATATGTGGAAGAGGCATCAAGAATCAGCTAGGAAAAACCACCACTGTCTCTGCCAGCTTGGTGGGGACTTTCTGAGCATAATTCTCAAATGAAGTACAAAAATGCAGGCGCTCATGTTGGTGATTTTTTGAATTGGGTCTGAACTGGCAAACAGTTGCAATCGGGAAGCCGCCTTTTCCACCCTTCTGTGCCTGCTGCCTGCCTCAGAGATGGTCCTGGGTGTCAATGCCAGGATCTGAGGAGCTGCGTGGCAATCTGGGCATCACTCTTTCTGGGCCTCTCAGATCATGAGGTCTAGTCCCTTGAAGAGTGACTTGGGCAGCCTTGGGAGGTGAGGGGAGGGCTGATGCTGGCTGTTTCCTCCCCCTTCAGAGGCTGGCATCAGGGCAAGGGACGGTTGAAGTGTCAAAAGTTGGCAGTGGGAAAGCGAGAGATCCAACGGTCTGGGAGGGGGACATTGTGGGTTCCACGGGGCGCCCCCTCCTCGAAACTCCCCGGGGACGGGACAGGTGTCCTTGTTCCGGAGTTCCAACGGCCGGTCCGGCGATCCAAGTCGGAGTTAAGACGATGCAGCCCGCGAGGCGTTCCCCTCCTGTCCCCGACGCCTCTACGCGAAGAGGGGGAGCCGTGGGCGTTTGGGCCCGTTTCTGGGGGCTCGCGCGCTTGGAGCGCAGGGAGGGAGTCGCTAGAGGGCGCCGGGCGTCCGCCGCCGCGGGATTTCTCTCGGGGAAGCCCGCCGGCCTTGCGCGAGTCGGGCGGGGAGCTCGGGGGTCGCCCCCTCGGAGCCAGGCAGCCCCCCGCCCGCCTCCTCGTCCTGACCCAGCCGGGCCTCCGCCTGAGAACCAGCGGGACGTCTTCGCAGCTGCCGGCCCGCCGTCCAGTGCCGCAGCCCCAGAGCCTGAGCCGGGCTCCTTCCTTTCGCCGCCCCTTTCCCCGGAGCTTGGCTCCCGTGGAGGCCGGGCCGGAGCACGACGGCTGCTATTCCCTGTGCATGGGCAGAGGCTGCCTGCCTCTCACACCCTCCCAAGGGGGCTTTTTTCAAGAGGCCACTGGACTTTTTGTTGTTTTTCTTTCTTTTGAAGACGTTTCTCTTCTCATCCCAGAAGCTTCTTCAGCTCTGACTGGGATGGTGGGGAATGGAAAGATCCAGTCAGAGCTGAAGAAGCTTCTGGGATGAGAAGAGAAACGTCTTCAAAAGAAAGAAAAACAACAAAAAAAAGTCCAGGTGCCTCCTGAAAAACCCCCTTTGGGACAACCAGGACTGGGTGACTGAGAAGACTGGCTGGCTACAGACTTTCACACCGAAGTTGGAACTTGCAAGTCAACCTCTTGGAACGGGGGTGGGTGGGCGTGGCGGGGGCCCGATGGGTTGGCCTCCCGTGCAAAGCCTCCCGGGGGGCAGCCGATCCGCTCCCAGGACCCTCCTCTTCTTCGTTTGTCCGAGGGCGGCCTGGGCTGCGGAGCCTCTGGAGCCTGACTTGTGAAGCAACCGTTGTTAGTGCGGGGCCGGGAAAAACGCGGGGCTGTTATTTGACTAAACAAAACGTTCGCGAGAGGCGCCTCGCATTTGAAATGCAGGGCAGCGTCCAGGAACCCAGCATTTTGCACACCGGTTCCCGCCTGCTCTGCGCGCGTGTGCAAAAAACCCCCACATTTGCAGCTGGGAAGACAGGCCGAGCAGCGAGGCCGAATCAGAGCCCCCGAGCCCCCTCCCGCCCCCCTCGAGGTGAGCCGATGCCAGCGCCCCCCTGACCTCGGCGCGTGCTCCCTGCTGCTGGAGCCGGAGGGCGGGGGAGGGCGGGGGGCTCCGGCCCGGCTCTGCACGTGTAAGTTAATCAAAAGTAAGCAAACACTCTTTTTCCGCCTGGCCCCTCGGAGGAGGGGGAGGCCGTCAGTTGGCAGGCGGCAGCCCCACCGGCCCTCCCGGCTGCTCCGGGAGATGCTACTAGGTGGACCTGCCTCCCCGCTGCTAGCGAGGCCCCCTGGCAGTTTACCTTGGCAGAGGAGGCGGCGGGAGGCGCGAGGCTGGCTGTGCAAGCAGGAGGGGGCAGACGTTGCCTGGACCCTCGCAGGGGATGGAGGCCCAGACGGTGGCCAAGCTGGTCATCCCCAGAGACACCTGGATGCCATAAGCAGCTGTCGCCCGCCCTGGTCGCACCAGAGGAGGCATGCAAAGGAAGGCCAATGCCCTGATCTAGAACCCCTCACAAGCTTTGTCAGGGTCCCTGGGGCTCTCTGAGCTTGGTGGCTTCCTTGCAGACGGTTCATTGTTCATCAGGACACTGATGCTGTTATCTAGTTGGGCAATGAAACGTCTGCAAGAAAACCACCAACCTCAGAGAGCACCAGAGACCCCACAGTCCTCCTCCCCTCCTCCCTGCAAACCCCCCTCTGCTCTAGCACTGATGATGTTACCCAGCTTGCATCATGAAATGTCTGCAGGAAAACCACCAAGCCCAGAGAGCCCCAAGGGCCCCACCGGTCCACCTGAGCTACAGAGGTTCTCCTTAGTTCCTTTGTCTGGGTGTTTGGGTGCAGCCACCCCGCCAGCCACCCCCTCCAGCCCTCCTTTTCACCCGTAAGGCCAAATAAGACAGATTGGTTCAGGGCCATAGATGGCACCCAGCTCAGGGGCAGAAATGGGATATGCCCTGGTTTGGGCATCACCCTCTGTATGTCAAACAAATACGGTAATTACCTTGGTTTACATTTAAGCCATTGACCACGTTGTGGAAGCCACAGTGGTTGAGTGTCTGGGACCACTAAACCCAGGCAGGCGGGGAGGGTTGCCTCCTGCAGAGATTGAAAATCCTCAATAATCCAACAAAGAGTTCTGAGAATGCTTACCAGGAAGTCTCCCTGCTCCATCGGCCCCTTGGAAAAACACTGAACATAGAATGACAGAGTTTGAAGGGACCTATTTATTGATTTATTTATTATTTATTTATTGGTTCAATTTATATGCCGCCCTTCTCCAGAGACTCAGGGCGTCTTACAATGCGTTAAGCAACAGCCTTCATACTTTTGTATATACCTGCTTAGTAGGGCTTTTGCCCCCCCCCCAAGCGGTGTTCTATTTTTATACAAAGTCAGCTTATTGCCCCCACAAACCGGGTCCTCATTTTACCTACCTCGGAAGTATGGAAGGTTGAGTCAACCTTGAGCCTGGTGAGAATTGAACTCGCAGTAATTGCAGGCAGCTGGTAGCTAAATACTATTTTAACAGTAGTTTAGTCCACTGCACCACCAGGCTCCTTCACCTAAGAGCAGGGTGAAATCCAGCAGGTTCTGGAGAACCGGTAGCAGAAATTTTGAGCAGTTCGGAGAACCGGCAAATACTGCCTCTGGCTGGTCCCAGAGTGGGGTGGGAATGGGGATTTTGCAATATCCTTCCTCTGACATGCCCACCAAGCCAAGCCCACAGAACCGGGAGTAAAGAAATTTGGATTTCACCTCTGCTTGGAGGTCTTCCAGTCCAACCTCTGCCCATGGCAGGAGATCCTATATCACTCTGGACTTCCTTTGGGTTTGATGGGATGGATACAGGTGATCATAGAAAGAATAACAGAATAACATAACAGAATATGGGAGTTAGAAGCTACCTTGGAGGTCATCTAGTCCAACCCCCTGCTAAAGCAGCGAGACCCTATAGTACCATTTCAGCCAAATGGCTGTCTTAGTTTCTTTGGAAAAACTTCCAGTGTTGGAGCAAGCAACTTCTGGAGGCAAGTTGTTCCACTGGCTAATAGTTCTCGCTTTGCTCTGCTTTCCCCCCCTGGGCCTTGGGGTGGGTGGTGAGGCTGATACTGCTGGAGTTGGGGGGGGGGGACAATCCCTGAACCATGAAATGGCATCACAGTGACGACCAGGTAAACCTCTTCCTTCTTAACCCAATGCTCTCCCCTGTCTGCACTTCAGGTGTTCTCCAAAATATTCAGCCACGAAGCTCTGGAAAGTTACCTCCCCAAGATCCGGCTGGTGATTCAAGAGACCCTGAGAGCCTGGGGCAGGAACCCCGACCCCATCAACGTCTACCACGAAGCCCAGAAGCTCACTTTCCATATGGCCATCCGGGTCCTTCTGGGGTTCCGAATCCCAGATGGGGAGCTCAGCCAGATGTTTGAAGTTTACCAGCAATTCGTGGAGAACGTCTTCTCTTTACCTGTGGATCTGCCCTTCAGTGGCTACCGCAAGGTAAGAAAGGGCTCCATCAGGGTGGGGCAGAAGCCCAGGTGCTTCGCCTGTGCTGGGCCACCTCATGGCCTTGTTAAGAAGAAGGACATTTGCGAGTCTCTCTCTGCCCAAAATAGCCACCAGAAAGTGTGGCCCAACCCTGGTAGAAGGTAGCATCCTATGAGGCATCTCCTGATGGATCCAAGGGGGAGGAAATTGGGTGGGGCATTTTGGTTCTTGTAGTTTAGATGCTTTTAGGGTGGGGAGGGGTCCAATCTTGGCAACTTTAAGACTGGTGGACTTCGACTCCCAGAATTCTCCAGCTTTGCCACAAGAATCCCCCAGAATTCCCTGGCTAAGTCCACAAGTCTTAAAGCTTGCAAGATTGGACCCCCCCCCCGTTTTAGAGGGTTCGACCCATGACAGATGTCTAACTACTGCCCCACTGAGAGCCCTGCAGATGTGGCTGGGGATTCTGGGACATCAAGCCTCAACGCAGTCGGAGGGCGTGGGAGTGACGTGATCCTGGATGTCCTTTTTCGTAGGGGATCCGTGCGAGGGAGATTTTGCAGAAGGGCTTAGAAAAAGCCATCCGGGAAAAGCTGCAGAACTCACAAGGCAAAGACTACCTGGATGCCCTCGACCTCCTGATCGAAAGCGGCAAGGAACACGGCAAGGAGCTGACCATGCAAGAGCTGAAGGTATCAATCCCTGGGCCAGGCAGGTGGCAGGCGGCACTTCTCTCTGTCACCACTGGGGGCGCTAGACTCCCCTTTTCTGCTCAATGCTAGACCAGGATGCACAGAGTAGAGTAGAGTAGAGTAGAGTAGAATAGAGTAGAATAGAATAGAATAGAATAGAATAGAATAGAATAGAATAGAATAGAATAGAATAGAATAGAATAGAATAGAATAATGGAACGGAATGGAACAGAACAGAACAGAACAGAATAACAGAGCTGGAAGGGACCTTGTAGGTCATCTAGTCCAACCCCCTGCTTAGGCAGGAGACCCTACCTATTCCATTCCAGACAAGTACCTCTCCACTCTTAAAAACCTGCTATGATGGAGCACCCACAACTTCTGGAGGCAATTTCTGTTCCACTGGTTAATTGTTTTCACTCTTAGGAAGTTTCTCCTTATTTCCAGGTTGCTTCTCTCCTTGATTAGTTTCCATCCATTGTTTCTTGTCCTGCCTTCAGGCTCTTTGGCGAATAGGTGGACCCTCTCCTCTTTGTGGGAGCCCCTCAAATTCTTGAATACTGCTCTCATGTCACCCCTAGTCCTTCTTTTCTCTAGACCGGCCACCTCTAAACCCGGCTGCAACCGTCCTTCCTATGTTTTAGTCTCCAGGCCTTTAATCATCTTAGTTGCTCTTCTCTGCCCTTTTTCCAGAGTCTCAACGTTTTGTTTTGTAATGTGGTATCCCAAACTAGTATTCCAGGTGTGGCCTTACTAAGGTTTTTTAAAGCAGTACTAATACTTCACGTGATTATAACTCTATGCCTCTGTTTATACAACCAAGGATTGTATTTGCTTTTTTGGCTGCTGTTGCACACGGCTGGCTCATATTCAGTTGATTGTCCACTAGGACTCCAAGGTCCCTTTCACAGGGGCTGTTTTTGAGCCCGGTCTCGCCTAATCTGTACTTGGACCGTTGGTTTTTCCTGCCCAGGTGTAAAACCTTGCTTTTCTCCACATTAAACTTCATGTTGTTGGCCAGGATCACATCCAGTAGCTTTGCTCTTTAGGAGCTCACGCAGCCTCTCTTTGCCCTAGGATGGCACCCTGGAGCTGATCTTCGCTGCCTATGCCACCACCGCCAGTGCCAGCACCTCTCTGATTATGCAGCTGCTGAAGCATCCGGCGGTCCTGGAGAAACTCCGCGAAGAGCTGAGGACCAAGGGCCTGTTGCACAACGGCTGCCTCTGCGAGGGGGCCCTTCAGCTGGAGACCGTCCACAGCCTCCAGTACCTGGACTGTGTCATCAAGGAGGTGCTCCGGCTTTTCACCCCCATTTCGGGCGGGTACCGGACGGTGCTGCAGACCTTTGAGCTGGATGTGAGTAAGAGGACCTTGCGTGAAGCCCCCTCCCCTGGAGGTTCTAGGTCAGCGTTTCTCAATTCCCTAGGTCAGCCGCTTCAATTCCCCAGCAGCCAAGAACTCTGGGAGTCAAAGTCCACACCTCTTAAAGGAGCCAAGGTTGAGAAACACTGTTCTAGGTTTACACAATTTGGGAGACAAGTCCCAATTTGGAAGGGTCAGGACCCCATGGCCTCCCCTGCACCCTGGGATTGCATTGCTTTAATTGGGTGGCAAAATGATCAATACTTAGCAGGGAAAAAATATTTTTCAGAGAGATAATAGGAGCAGGAGGACGTTAATGTGACTGCTGGGAGGCAAGCAGGAAGACCTTAATCCAGGGGTGAAATCCAGCAGGTTCTGACAGGTTTTGGAGAACCGGTAGCGGAAATTTTGAGTAGTTCAGAGAACCGGCAAATACCACCTCTGGCTGGCCCCAGAGTGGGGTGGGAATGGAGATTTTGCAATATCCTTCCCCTGCCACACCCACCAAGCCACGCCCACCAAGCCACACCCACAGAACCGGTAGCAAAAAAAATTGAATTTCACCACTGCCTTAATCCCAAATCAACAATTTTGGTCCATTTCTGAGGGTCTCCAGAGAGTTTGGAGAGATGAAAGTGGTTTCTAATGGCTCCCACCCTTTTCCTCACCGTCAACCTATAAGGGGCCTGGTGGCTCAGCAGACTGATAGCACTGTAATTTAACACCAGTTGTCTGCAATTTAAAGTAAGTTCGAATCTCGCCAGGCTCAAGGTTGACTCAGCCTTCCATCCTTTCTAAGGTAGGTAAATTGAGGACCCAGATTGTGGGGGCAATAAGCTGACTTTGTATAAAAGATACAAAAGAATGAAGGCTATTGCTTAACGCATTGTAAGCCGCCCTGAGTCTCTGGAGAAGGGCAGCATATAAATTAAATTAAAAAAAAAAAAAACCAACCGGTTGAAAAGCTCAAGGCTGATGGCTGAAGCTGCAGAAGCCGCAGAAGGTCTGAAGTCCAAGCTGTTGGACCTGCCCCTCCCAAAGGGGGGTTGTGGGTTGCAACCTCTGGGTCAGGTGCCAGAAGTCAGGAGCCAGGATAGAGTTCAAAAGTACTATGAATCTATTTCATCTTCCTAAACACGAGAATCTGATTCTACTGATGGTCAAGGCGAATTGGTGCCAGAGAAGAGTCAAGGGACATCAAGGCAGGCTGGACTGATGATGTACTTGATGACTGGTCTTTGGGCTGATCCTGGTCATCTCCTTACAGCAGCTGCTTTCCTACTTGGCGACTTTAAGATTTGTGAACGTCAACTCCCAACTGGTTGAGGAATTCTGGGAGTTGAAGTCCACAAGTCTTAAAGTGGCCAACATTGGAGACCCCGTCCTACCCTCTGGCCAGGCTGCCCTTTTGTCTATTTCTGGGGCTTATTCATTGATTTCCATGAAAAGTGCTTCTTATGCAACAATAAAAATGATTTGCTGAATGGTGGTTGAGATGAGTGCCTTGTAAATGATCTTTTAAACAACATCTGTAAGTGTACAAAATACTCAGATTCTTTTGAGTTCCTTTTGGAAGGGAACTTTTCATTTTGGGCTCAAGGGCTGCTGTCTCTCCTCTTGAAGCCAAGGGAAAAACCTAGAAGGAGGTGGGCTTAGAAGGACCCCTCCTGAAATACGGAGTTCTCAGAGGCGTCAGGATTTGGGCGGCTGCAGATGCATCATTGTGGAACCCAACACTCTAAATCTGGATAAGAGAAATGAGGGCTAGAGCCAGATGTTGGGATGACATCTGGATGACTCATGATGGAATTTCCACGGAGCAAAACAAATTTCACCGCTTGGTTGTTCCAGTCTGCAGAGTTCATCAAAGATCAAAGGCTGGTCGGTGTCCTTCTCAACGGGGCCAGCAGATGGCAGATGCAGTGGGCTGGACATCTCTTTCTTGGCAAAGCAAACCACTCATATACAAACAGTGAACAAACCCCCCTCCCTTCTAGCACTGATGATGTTACCTAGTTGGGTCATGAAATGTCCGAAAGAAAACCACCAAGCTCAGAGAGTACCAAGGACCCCATGTTTCTCCTCCTCCTCCTCCTCCTCCCCCCCTTCTAGCACTATTGATGTTCTCTACTTGGGCCATGAGATGTCTGATGGTCTGTGTGCATGGGACATCTCGAATTTCCTAGGACTTGGGGTTCCCCTAAATCAGACCCTTCTGTAGCAGCGTTCTAGAGTAGCCCTGGTGCATCTTGAACCTTGTGAGGGACTCTCTGTGCCCCCCCCCTGACAATCCGTCTCCTGTTTCTCCAGGGCTTCCAGATCCCCAAAGGATGGAGCATCATGTACAGCATCCGAGACACTCATGACACGGCTCCCGTCTTCAAAGATGTGGATGTCTTTGACCCCGATCGCTTTGGCCGGGAGCGCAGCGAAGACAAAGATGGCCGCTTCCACTACCTGCCCTTCGGCGGAGGGGTACGGACCTGTCTCGGCAAACATCTGGCCAAGCTGTTCCTCAAAGTGTTGGCCATCGAGCTGGCCAGCACGAGCCGATTTGAACTGGCCACCAGGACTTTCCCTCCGGTGACCCTGGTGCCCGTGGTCCACCCGGTCGATGGACTCAAGGTCAAATTTTTTGGACTCGATTCAAATCAGAACGAAATCTTGACAGAGAGAGAGGCCATGTTGGGGGCCACCGTGTAGGCCGAAGGCTTCTCTGGGCTGACGAGGGTGAAGCGACTGGAACGGAGAAGGGGAAGGAAGAAGCTCGACCCACCACTAATGACGGAGAAGGGCTGACCTTGGTGGACACATTCGGCAAAGCCTTCTCCAGTGAATATGCCAAAAACTGTGGGGGTGTTTTACTCTGGGGGTGAACAGTGGATTTCTCCTCCGTGGCTTCTGTTCGGTTTTGTGTTTGAACACCGGCGAAAAGCGAATTGTGTTGACCATAATCAGCGTATGTATGTGTGTATATACACTTCCTTTCAAGTGTTAATCAGGCAGTGTCATCCCACAGTAGTTGGGAACTCTTCTTGTCTTTGCTATTCAAAGTGGCCGAGGGAATCCCCAAGTGGGGCCGGGTACAAAATCATCGAGCCCGTGGGGCACGGGGGTGGGAAGGAGCCCTCCCTGCAGGCATGCTTGGGCTCAGGCATAAGGACAACATCCAGGAGGGGAGGGGATCAGGAAGATGGCTGGGGAAGCCCCACAGTTTTGGCCAGGCAGAAGACCTGGAGTTCTGCACAGCTGCCATCACTTCTCTTCCTTCGGAAGCTGCCAAAAGGCGAGTTTTTCTCTAGCCTGGTGTGGAAAATAAAGGCTGTGGATTCTGAGCTTCTCTGCTGGAGAAAGCTCTCGGGTCGTCTTCTCTGTGGCCCTCAGTTCCAGGGCCAGCCCCATCTTCTGAAGAAGACCACGCCTGGGCCATGATCCCAGAAGGTCCTTTGAGGCTGTCAGTTGCTGCTTTCTTGCTTTCCTTGTGTCCCTGCAAGCCCCCCTCCACAGAGAGACTGGGAAGCCTTCAGTCCCAAGACCGGAAGTTGTTCTTTTGCCAGAAGTGGCTGCAGAAGATTTCTGACAAGGGAATTTTATATCTCTGTCCCCGAGTTGTCCTTGGTGGTCTCTGAGCTGGGCTGTTTTCTTGCAGACATTTCATTACCTAACTAGGTAACATCATCACTGCTAGTGTGGAGTGGGGTTTGGTTATAAATGCTCTCTACTAGCATTTTACCTAGTTTGGTAAAATGAAACATCTGCAAGAAAACAACCAAGGACTCCTCATTTCAACCCCGAGCTACAAATATTCTCCTTTATTGGTCTATCCATATACATGCGTGCATTTCATTTAGTCCGGGATAACTCCTGTTTGATTGACCGCTCCTAGCTAATATAACTTGACTAAAAAAAAAAAGAAAAAAGAAAAATTAAAAAGTTACTGCAGTGGATTTGCAGAATGAAGCACTTTCGAGACTCGGAATCTGTGTTTGTCTTGTGTTCCTTTTGATTGCTTAGCACAGTTCCCGTTGGCGCTATTATTTTATACAAGAAAAGTGGTGGGCTCGTTTTGTCTGAGTTTATAAACTATAAGTATTATTTTTGTTATTAAGTCAGAATGGATATTTAGTATAATAATGTTGCTGTCTCAAATGTGTGTTATTTAGTAAAATATGAATGATTCCACCGTTTTGCTTTTTTCTTTCATTCTTTGTGGCAAACTTGTCTGTCGAGAGAAAATAAGACGGTTAGCATGGAGTCACACCAGGGGGTGAGGTTGGGGGGGTGGGGGCTGGCGGGTGGGCGGGGGAGGGGGCCCCGGAAGCTCTTTTGTGTGATTCCCTTCAGCACAAACCTTGTGCAGAATTGGCCCCTGGCACTTCCCATGAGCTGTGTTGAGTTTAATATTAAAATAAATAAGCACCTGTTGTGTGGGGATATATCTCGGTGCTGTGTGTCTTGTGTCCTGTGGCTTTTGATGTGACTGTAATACGGGGGTCAGTTCACCCGCCCGACCCTCCCTTTCCAGCCTCCCCCTTGGCCAGGAAAAGTCCCAGGGTGCCACGTCTCTGTCTGTGTCCAGGTGCCATCTGGGGGGGGGGGGTCGCAAGTGGCCAAGGACATCTTTGTGGGTGGATCTGCACCTGTGACCAGGGGTGGGGGGTGGGGAGGGAAGCATCGTGTTTTGTGTGATCTTATTAAAAAAATAATCCATGTGGCTATTTTATAGATTTTCATCATCATCGTCATCATCATCTTAATAAAAAAAATGAATGTAACCCCTTTTGTGTCATTGGTTCTTGGACTTGTACTGCTGCAATGTGGGAGAAGACCCTGGAGATCTCCCCTGAACTTGCAAGGAGATCCAATCTGTGATCCTAAAGGAAGTCAACCCCGAATGTCCTTTGGAAGGGCAGATGCTGAAGCTGAAGCGCAAATGTTTTGGCCACCTGATGAGAAGAGAGGAAGAACTCCTTGGAGAAGACTCGGAGGTTGGGAGAGATGGGAGGCCAAAGGAGGAGGGGACGGCAGAGGAGGAGATGGTTAGGTAGGGTCATCAAGGCAACGAATGAGGATTTGGATAAACTCCAGGAGACAGTGGAGGACGGTATGTGTGTGTGTGTGTGTCTGGTGTGCTGTGGTTCATAGGGTTGCGAAGAGTCGGACATAACTTAGCGACTAGACAACAACTGATGCCAAATCATATTGGTGGAGTTTAGCCTTCTGATGTGGTTTGGGGGTGGGAGGGCTACAGGGGGCTACAGGGAGAGATCCAAAGCTGAATGAAAGGAATGGGGGGGGGGTGATTCCTGAGCTCTGGAGGAGAGCACCCTCTGCCTCCTACCCTTTCATTGCTAGAGGTCCTTCAGACAAGGGTCTGGATGGCTTCAGGATTCTTTCCTAGGGCAGGGGTTGGACTAGAGGACCTCCAAAGCCCCTTCCGACCCAGTGGTTCTGTTTCTCAGAGATCGCTAAAATGCGTCAGCTGCTGCTTTCCGCCGCAATGCCACAAGTTTGTTTTTGACACCATATTGTATAACATGACAGAGATATTTAGGGAGCTGGAGGTTAAAGCATCCGAAGAAGGGCTGCAGGAATTGGGGGTGTCCAGTTTAATGAAAAGAAGGACCAGGGGGGATATGATGGCAGCATTTCTATATCTCAGGGGCCGCCACGCCCTCCAGAAGTTGTGGAAGCTCCATCGCTGGGATTTTTAAAGAAGAGACTGGACAGCCATTTGTCCAAAATGGTCGAGGGCCTCCTGCTTGAGCAAGGGGTTGGACTAGAAGACCTCCAGGGCCCCTTCCAGCTCTACTCTGATTGATTCCCTTCCTTCCAACTTGCTGAGATGCAACCAGACCCAATTAGTCTGCGCTGTTTTCCTCCCCACTCCGAGCAGAAGCGAAGCACAAGGAAGAGCAGGGACAAAAGTCGCCCTGGGGGTCCCAGCAGGAGGGCTGGCTGTCCCTGACGTCCTTAAGGCGGCGCTGCTGCTGCTGCGGTGCTGGGAGGCTCTTTCGCGGGGCCCGGTCACTCCGCAGTCGTGGAAGGAGCCTCTGGGCGCGCCCTTCCCCTCGCTTTCCCAGAGCCCTCGGAGAGCGGCTGAGAAGGGCAGACGGACGCTCGGCTGTGCTAAGAGCCCAGGACCCCGCCGGATCGCGCCGGGAGACGCGCACCTGCCGACCGCTCCCTGCAGCTTCTCCCCAGCAGCCACAGAGCGGTCCGGCTGGTGCTCCGGATCCGCTTCGCTTGCGCGCCTCTTCCCCGCGCAAGGCGGCTCAGAGGATCGCCCGTCCGCCCCTTCGCTTCCCCTTCCCCTCTTCCCTTCTTCCCCTCCCTTCCCTTCCCCTTTATAAATGCTGGCTGGGGAATCCTGGAAGTTGAAATCCAGCCTTGAAGTGCCCAAGGTTGAGCTACACCGGTCTGGACTCTTTGATCAAAGTTGATGCTTTTCATTTTAACCACTTTGGATTTGCAGAACAAGTGGATGAAATATATACTTTAAAATTGGTATAAAGTTTGGTCAGATTGAACAGAGTTCATTCAGCATCTGCCATGATATATTAATGGCCTAGATCTGCATTAAATCAGGTGGGTCCCAAACAGCTTTTCTGGAAATGCTTTATGACCACACTTGGAATGTCTAAACACCAGCATTATATATGAGCAGGCTGTAGGGTAATTAGTCACACAGGCATTGGCACCGTCTAGGAAGCTGGTGGGGTACTCCCCAGGCACAGAGCTCTGGGGATTAAAGAATAGAGTAGAGTAGAGTAGAGTAAAGTAGAGAAGAGAAGAGAAGAGAAGAGAAGAGAAGAGAAGAGAAGAGAAGAGAAGAGAAGAGAGGAGAATCCAATCCTAGGGCTGGAAGGGGCCTTGGAGGTCCAAGCCCCTGCTCAACCCCCAAACCCTATTCCATTTCAGAAAAGTGGCTATCCAGTCTTTTCTTAAAAACCTCCAGTAATGGAGCACCCACAGTTTCTGGTGGCAAGCTGTTCCACTGGTTAATTGTTCTTACTGTCAGGAAATTCCTCCTTAGTTCCAGATTGGATCTCTCCTTGATGAGTTTCCACCCGTTGTTTCTTCTCCTGCCTTCTGGTGCTTTGGAGAATAGGTGGAGCCCCTCTTCTTTGTGGGAGCCCCTCAAATACTGGAAGGCATTCCTGTCACTTCCAAAGGAAGCTCAGAGTCTTCTGAACTGGGCTTCTGTCATGGCTTGGGAATGAAGCCTGGCCTTCCCTGTCAGCTCCATTCAGGGCACAATTGGGCAGGAAGGCTGTGAGAAATGAGCAGCGCTTCCCTTGAGTTCTGCCCATCATGTGTCACCAGTTTTTCCCAGGAAGACTGAGACCACCCAACACTTAGAAATGTGCGGAATGGAGAACACTGGATTCAATTAAAACTCCCAATAATGCCACAACAACAGGCAAACAATGACATTAAAAGACGCTTCTCTCTTCCCACAAAAGTCTGGCCCAGCCCAGCCATCCTGGAAGATGCTTGTTCAAAAAATAATAGAATTCCAGGCTTGGCTGTTGCCAGTTCCTGCTCAGACTGGAGGCTCCCAAGGCCAGGAAGATGACTGTGGGAATGACAAGGAGAGGGAATGTGGGTCTCCCCATCCCCATTGCAGGGAGTCAGCACTTGCCCTGGGCTGTGGCAGAAGAATAATTGGGGGTTCCAACTCCAGCAGGGGTTGTGCAAGAAGAAATAAAAATGAAATCCAGATGTCGTGAGGAAAGGCCATTTATTTATTTATTTCCCAAAGCAAGGAGGTTTGCTTTGTGGGGTGCAGAGAGATCGTTTTATAGGGGAGTTTGTCCTGGGTGTGGCAGTGTGTAGGCGCTGATCTCTAGGGTGACACGCGAGGGGTGTGAGTGGGTGTTGATCCCAGAGAAGGGGGTTGGTTAAATCAAGCGATGTGGTCTCTTTCTTCGAATTGTGAGCATTATAATGATGTTACATTGTGTTAATGGAGTTCTGAGTGTTTGCTCGTGTGTGTTTACAATTTGAAATAAGTGTTTAATTAATTGTGAGGTTTGAGTAAGATTAAAGGATTTCGGAGGCCGTGAATCAGTAACTCTGTGGAGGCCTGGGTCATATTTCTAGCACAGTTGTCAAAGTTACAAAGTCTTCCCACAGCAACCTCCTTCTTCCCCACCGGGGTCATCGGAACCCACCCTCAGCCCTGAGTCAAGCCATGCGGGGAGGATAGGTGTGGAGGGGCCTCAGCCCTCCCTCACCTCTCCCTCCCATGCAGCCCAGGGGGACGATGGGCAGGGGGGTCAGACAGCCGCCTGCCCTTTTATTACTCACTTAGGGGGTTGGAATGACTTACCAAAACTTTCTATTTTAACACCAAAAAATATCGTGTCCTCCCAGCAGACTCTGGCTGAGACTGAATCCAGGGCTTTGCAGAAAGCGCCCCCCCCAATCCAGCTTCCCATCCATTTGGATGAGGCTGAAGTACGGCCCCTCCCCTTCCCCAGGAAAAGAAAGGAGGGGGGAGGGAAGGAGGGGGCTCAGATAATGAAAGTGGGGGCTCAGTTTAGTTTAGTTTATTATATTTGTAGACCGCCCTTCTCCCGAAGGACTAGGGGCGGTGAACAGCCAGCAGATAAAATACAGAAAATACCAAAATTAAAACAATATTAAAAACCAATTAAATCAGTTTGGCCCTCAGTTAAAACACCCCCATATTAAAACCCATAATTTAGCAATTTAAAATTAAAGCAATTTAAAAAGTATGGTCAGGTCAGCCCGGCTTGATGAAACAAAAACGTCTTTAAGGCACGGCGAAAAGTGCGCAGATCTGGGATCCGCCGTATCTCCGGGGGCAACTCGTTCCAGAGGGTCGGTGCCCCCACAGAGAAAGCTCTCCCCCTGGGGGCTACCAGCCGACATTGTTTGGCCGACGGCACCCTGAGGAACCCCTCTCTGTGGGAGCGTAGTGGTCGGTGGGAGGCTACTGGCGGCAGAAGGCGGTCTCGTAAATATTCAGGCTCCCCTTGGCTGAGAGTCTAGATCAGGAGGATCAAAAGTTAGCAGTCTTAAGACTTGTGGACGTAAACCTGGGGAATTCTGGGAGTTAAAGTTCAAAAGTCTTAAAAGTTGCCTAGTTTGGAGATCCCTGTTCTAGATGCTGGTGCTGGACTGTGCCGATTGGACTGGCCCACTTCTTGGCC